AGGCCGAGGAACTGGAATTGGAGCTGCAATCACGTCGCAAGGAGGCGGAAAGTTTGCGCGTTTGCCAGGCACAGGTGAAGTCGCTGAGCGGCGTAGTAAGTGAACAGGAGCGCTCCATACAAACACTCATGGAGCGCATCGAGAATCTCAAAGGTGAACTGGAGACGGCCAATGACAATCTGGAGACACAGATCGAAGCTGTGCGCAAGATTAAGTATCAGTGTGATAAGTAAGTAAACCTGCAGCTCAATTTGGAAGATGGAATATCAATTTAGAATCCAATTGCAGCGCCATTTATGATAAGGAGCGTCAAATGATCTATCGCATCGATGAGGTGCGCAACGAAGCTGCCGCCTTTTGGGAGAATAAACTATAGTAAGTGTTAAAAATTTATACACAAGATAACTGTTAGACTAGCTGGTATTATCGGTGTAATTTTTTTCTTCAAATGTTAGCAATACATTTTCCACGCATCTTTCGCCCGTGCGGGCGGATTCGCCGAAATAGAAACTCATCTGAAATGTATTTATATAGATCTATAAAATTAAGTTTAATATTGTATCGGCTAAAAACCAAAGTATTGCATAACATAGCCTCTCACTTATTTTCCACTCTTTTCGGTGAATATATTCATAGTTAAATTCTGTTCTTGCGCTTCCTCGCTTTGGTCGCTACCAATCATTTATCTATCTACCTATTCATCCACATTAATAATGTATGTTATTGTGATCTTTAACCACAGCACAGAGATGACAAGACTGACAAATGAACTGGAATCCGTTTATGTGGATGAGCGACGCGATGCCTTGGACAAGCTGCAGGCGGAGCACATCGAAGAGCTGCGTGCGCTAACCAATCGCTACACGGCCAATGAGGATGAGCTGCGTGCAGAGGTTAAGTCCGACTACTACACACATAGAGCGCACTTTATAGCCTACCCCTTGATTACAGATCGAAGAGCTGACCGAAAATCTGGAGCTCAAGAAACAAGACTTTCTGGCGCTGCGCGAACGCTCCGACAATGCGCTGCTGCAGACGCGTATGCATCTGGATCGTGCGGATCGCGAGTATCAGAATGCCATGTGCCGGGAGGAGGATCGACGCGTCGAGCTCGAGGAGAAGCTGCGCAAGGAGTTCGAAACCGAAAAGCAGGAAATGGAAGAGAAATTCCGTGAACGTTTGGGTCAAGTCAAGGAGGAGTTCGCCAAGGAGCTGCAGCTGTCCACACAGGATATGATCGAAACGCATCGCAAGGAGCTAGGTAAAAATCCAAACCCATAAACTGTGCCAGGCGTAAAATTAATTATTTTCCCCTATAGAAACCCAGAAGGCCAAGCTACAAAGCGAAAAGGATGAAGCGCTGCAGGAGCTGGTCGAGCGACATCGCGCCAAAATGGCCGCTGCCGAGGAACGAATGAAGTGAGTGTCTTTTACTCCGATACTAGCATATATATACCTATATATATATATACCCGAGCTAACTGTATTAGAGCTTAACAGACTTATTTATATATACAGTGCCTGCCAGTAGAGTTCCAATTGTTTTTTGTTTGCCTTTCAGTTCATTCATTTTGCCTGCCACAATTTTCATATACATTTACTTGTCTTTTGTTTTCTTTTACACACACACTCACATAAACACACACATAGCTGTATTGGTTACGATTGTGCGACCGCCTTGTGTGTGCTTGCGAAGAGGGCGTGTCCATATGTGCCCACCATCTATGTGCTATATCTGACCATGTCGCCATTGATTGCCTTAGCATGTTTAGTGTTCAATATAATCGCAGTGCTCTATATCAAATATGGCCATCTCTTGAACAACATTTAACTAGCACTAAGATTTAAATATATTTCGAAAGTGTGACAATCAATCAGTCAATCAAAACAGTTAATCAATCAATCATTTAGCAAGTTTGTGCCTGCTTTGCAACGTAGTATCCGTCTGGCATATATGAAAATATATATATATATATTACATTTACTTTCTCTTTTTTCGCTATATACCTACCGCTGCCGCCTCTCTCTCTCTCTCTCTATCTCTCTTTCTCTCTCTCTGTTTGCTTGTGTGAAACCTGCAACCAAATCCTTACAACCTATCAAAATCAACACCACAGCGATGTAGAGCTTCGGCATCAGCGCAATCTGAAGGACTTGAAGGCGGCCTACGATGCCGAGAAGACGGCGCTGGACAAACGCGACATTAGCAATGCCAACGAGATCGAGCAACTGCATCGCAAATGCCGCTGCCTGACCAATCTGTAAGTTCAGCCACCAGAACAACAACTACAACAACAACCCTGACCATAACAAAACGCTTAGCCATGTCGTCTTTGTTGTGCGCTTAGCTGCAGTCCCTGCAATCCGTCTCCCGAGCTAATCCAAACTTTTTATGCCGTTCACAGTTTCGAGGAGATGCGCATGCGCTATGAAAGACGTGATCCACGCGCTGAGGACCTGCGCGAGATCTCGGAGCTGCGCACGCGCTGTGATAGCCAGGAGCGGGATCTGTTTGTGCTCACCGACAGGCTGCGCGAAATGCAAAACCAAATGTCCGAGCTGCAGCAGAATGGCGAGGCGGCATCGCGTGGCAAAGCATTGAAGAAGCCGCCGCCCAAAACGTTACCCACCAGCTGTGATGTCATCTACGAGGAGAACGAGGAGCGTGAATCGCCCGAGCATGAGACGGGCAGCTCCTCCAGCCAGGACGACGCCGAACAGGATGAGCAGGAGGAGGACGAGGAGCAGGGCGAACAAGAGCCCAGCGACACCGAATCGAATCACACGATTGAAATCAATGGCAAATGCAACGATCGCATTAACGAGGACGATGCCCACATGATCTCAGCCGTCTGATCCGCTCAACTTCGATCTTCCGTTTCGAATTAAAGCCAAGCAAAAGTCCCAGCAACTGAGGCGCTGTCGAGCTGAGCCGAATTGCTGCCAGTGACGAGTATCCTTCACTCACTAACCACACGCTGCACAGCCGATCCTTGGGCCAGAGATGTCCTTTTATTTGCACCACTGACAGTTTTCAGAAAACACGCACATGCACCAACAACTAAACACATAAAAATTGTAAAATAAATTAAATCTAATTGGTTTATGAAGCCGCCTTTAAAAAAAAGAGACCAAAAACAAAGAACGAAATAAATGTAAATATTTTTAACAAGTCGTTGGAATAAGTCTTACACTAGAGAAGAGCTCAGGGAGTCGCAGAGAGCATTATAATATAATGACGAATATAATAGCTCGCAGAAGAAGGCATCTCAGTGCCAATATAGTATACATATATATTCCTGATCAGCAGCAACAGCCGAGTGGATATATTCTTAGTATCTGTGCCAACCAGGCTCTCAGCTTCGTATTTTTATTGCAGCAAAACTTAAGTTTCGGTATTAGAAAAACCGTTTTGTTTATCAAGATATCTTCACCAAACTTGGCATTTATTAATTTCACTATACTCCCTAGCTATATGCCAAATCGAATCTATATTGGCCCACTATGTCAAAGGAACGATCTTTTAAATGTAAAGTTCTAGTATGAAAACCAATTTTGTTCATCAAGATATCTTGGTCAAACTTTGCGTTTATTAGTAAAATTATACTCCCCAGATATATTGGAAATATTATCTAGATCGAACTACTATATCATATATCTGACATACGCAGAATCGGTAAAAAATCAAGTTCTATAAAGAACTATGTAACTCTTCAAGATATCTTAACCAAACTTGGCATTTATTACTTCCACACAGCCATTTACATATCAGTTAAATCTCTTCAAAATCAGCCAACTATATCGTATAGAATAGAATTTGTTTTTGTTGTTTACCAAGCAATCTTGACTCGCTTCACTAAACTTTCTAAATTGTATGTAAAACTTCTTGTTTATCGAAATATCTTGACCAAACCTGGCGTTAATTAGTTTCACGTTGCCACTTACCAAGTCCTGTTAACATTGAAGTATTTTAATATCCGGCTCCAAAGGAAAAATCGTTCGAAAACTACGTTTTCGTATAGACATTTTTCAGCAAGAGCTACAATTATCTTTAGAAAAAAGCCATATAATTTTTAATAGATGATCATTCTTGATTAATAGAAAAAAAATTTTAATTTTTAAATTTCAAAATTATTTTTATAATATTATTTTAATGTCAATTTTTTGTTTGTTTGATGAACATAAAGTCAATAGTGAGTTAAAGATTAATAAATCAGAAACAGTAAGTAATACTTGTCTATCATATTTTATTAGGTAAGGTTAACGCTGACTTTTCTTATAACCAAGTAAATCCTTCTTTTCTTACTTATTTACCGTCTGCTTTAAGTTAAGCTGCATTTTATAAAGAAAATTCTATCTCTATATATAAAACTGTTTGTCCTGACTGACTGACTGACTGATTGGTGATCAACGCACAGCCCAAACCGTAAGAGCTAGGAAGCTGAAATTTTCACTGTAGTTACCTTATGTGATGTAGGTGCACGCTAAGACGGGGTTTCGGGAAATTCCACCCGCAAGTGTGGAAAAATCGCGAAAAACGTTTGTATGTAACTTTTTTGTTCAAAGATCTTTGTTCAAATTCATTTGAGGGGTGTTTTACACTTTTAGGAAAATCCATTCCTCCTTGGTGGAAATGGAGGTCAAAGATTTAGTGGGTGACTTTTCCCGCTCAAATTCATTTTCAGAGATCTATAAGAAAAATCATTTGAGACGTGTTTCACACTTTTCGCAAAATCTAAACTCCTTCGGGTAAAATGCGATTCAAAGATTTTTTGTGCGACGTTTTAAGTTGTGTCCGATTTGCATAAAAGTTGTTTGATTCCCGTCCGAACAGTTTCAAAATCATTTTCAAAGCTTTTTGAAAACATTGATTTTATAACATACGTGCCACGGGCAAGGCCGGGTTATACCCGCTAGTCTTAAATATTTTTATAAATTAAATTAAAGCGGTAAATCAATTTGATATTTAATTAATTTAATAGTTTTGAGAAGCGTTTCATCTACACCCTTGAGGATGCTTTTGAGGGACCTCGTCCTTGCCAGCGAGCCATGACCAATTCTCCGATGAAAACAAATCCTGCTGTGGCATATAATATTGCCAACAATTTCCAAACCCAGAGTAGATCCTCATTATTTAATGGAGCATGTGTAGACTCTGTATGTGAACTCTTTTGATCGATAAGCTGCTTCTTGGATGCCACCATGCTGCGCATAGAGGCCACTTGCCAGTGACGGGACAGACCGACTTCGTGTGCTCTATAAATAAACTCGTTAACAGCTTTTATGTAAATGGAATTCTCCTTCAAAATGCCCACAATGGGATAGCCATGGAAAAGGATCAGTCCTGGCGACGCGCAGAGGACATGCCTTTTGTAATTCTTCTGGTGGCTATTCACGATATCCCACAACTTGCTGAATACCTGATAGGCATTCCTCGAGTTCAGGGCAAACATCATATCGTTGCGTTGATTGTTCGGCTTGAGGATTATATTGGGTATTTTTAAAATTTGATCTTTCATGTGCACATACGTCACATTCGCAATTATTTTGTCGAATATGACGGGCAAGCCGCTTTCCGCCAGCTCCTCGAAGTTCTGGGCGTGTCGATAGCAGGGCGGCTTGGTCAGCAGGGAGCTTAGATTGGCATTGAAATAACAGCCAAAAACAAGACTGAAAATGCTCATAACCATCAAGAACTGTCGCAGTGATGGGCTTCGATATCGACGCAAGCCAATGGGATGACCCAGCACCCCGGCAAATGAGTGCAGATTTATGAAAAATGTTGAATAGCCGAGGCACGAGCTGCGCCGCCAGATGTGCTGGCTGGCCAGTTTGAGCGTTGTTTCGATCAGCGCAAACAGAAAGTAGACGCCAAGCATCACAAAAAAGTAGGTTCTCATACTTCTATAAACATCACTTAATCTCATTTCCTGGCCACAGGGCACGACAATAAATAGTTCAACGATATCCACATAGATTGTAGACTCCATGCTGAATGTCTGTATGCGTCCATGCATTGGGAAGTCCACTTCACCCTCCGATATCATTTTCTCAATACTGTGATTATCGATCCAAATACTCTCATTCTCAGCTCTTTGCAACCGGAGCTCTATGTTATGTTTCCGGGCAAACTCCCTTACGAGTCGAACCATAAAGCCGTCCAGGTACTTGCTGCCCGTGCGCTTGTCCGAGAGCAGATAACTGGCCGGTGGATACAGACTGGGCACTGTTATGGCCACCTTTCGGCGGAAATCACGCCATATTGGAAATAAAAATGGTGCCTCGTTTAAATTACTTACAAGTTTGAGAGTTGCATTGGGAAATGGTTGTAATCTATAGACAATTATCGAGTCTTCGAGAGCATACAAGCCTGTACGAAAAACCAAGAGGTTGATCAAACTATATTTCTCTGCCTGTTGGGTGATTATAGACAGAAATTCCTGTAGATCCGAGTCCATACTATGTAGCCACACAATGATTGGCGCCTCTCTCATGCGATGTAGATTCTGGGCCAAGGTGCTCAGCAGGGTGGCATCTCCAAGATCGGCCATGCAAACCAGAGCGAGGGCCTCGCTATTAAAGCGCTGCTTTATATTAATTGTGATTCGTTCATCTAGGCGAAGACTAGGTATTCCCATGGAATTGATATCCTGCAGAGGGCAGTTGCTGTCCTGCTGGCGTTTCATAAGCAACAGCGTATCCACGGATCTTTCCCTCTGAACTCTCTCAATGATGTTGTTGATCAAATTAATTCCAAAGTTTCCTGGTTCTGCTAATTCTGGAAAACTCTTCAAGCCACCAGCTACAAGCAGCAGCAGAAACAGGCTAAAGCTAAACGAGCTAAGGGCTAACATTCTGGGCCAAGTATTAAGAACGAACTGAGACATGGCTAGGACATTTTACAGCTCCTAATAAGTTGTACATTAATCAAATTGCTTTGAAGTTCAGTTTAATCGAAGATTGTGGAGGGAACACGGGCTTTATACTCGGTGTCAAAACTCAGAACAGGTGAGATAATAATCAGAGTGTTATTATAACAAATAAAAACAAATAAGAGTGTGCTAGGCGGGAGTGCCCGCTGGCAGATACTCTAAACGCAGCGTTGAGCCTTGTACATATGTACATATACACACACATGTAAATATTTTGGGTTTAAAAATGACATAAAAAGGTGCCTTTATACCAAGGCTCTAGGCTCTAACTGTGTAAAATTAGGATTTTTGTAATTTGGAGCCGAACGAAGGAAGGTATTCAAACAGGAAAATATCCTGAATCTGCGTGTACAATACGAGGACCCACAATGTGTGTATGGCCTGTGTAGATCTTATAATTCTCGAGTTATGCTTACGAAACAAATTGTGAAAATCGATTCTTATCGATAACAAGAAAGTGAAACAAGACAGCAACAAAAAACTATGAAAATAGTTCAGCGTATGGTACACGAAAACAAGTAATTCAAACTTTAAATGCCTAGCTTTTGTGGTTTCCGAGATCGACATTGACGGACGGACGAACTGACAGAGGGACGGAGATGACTAAATCGACCCAACCTTCACATGCACCCACAATTAGAATCATACAAATTTTAAAATAAATTCAATCTAATTGGCGTATGAAAATGCTTTAAAAAAAAGAGACCTAAAGCATAGAACGAAATAAATGTAAATTTCTTTAACAAGTTGTTGGAACAAGTCTTAAACTAGAGAAGTGATCGGAATATTACAACGCATAGAAGAAGGCATCTCAATGGCCAAATAGTATTCCTGATCAGTAGCAACAGACGAGTGGATATAGGCATAATATCTGTGCAATTAAGACTCTTACTTTAAGAGCTATCGTCATGAAAAATTGGCTAGTTTCGTATTTTTGTTGTAGGCAATACATATGTTGGAACTGGCCGATTTGGACCAATATATCATAGAGCTGCTATAGGAACGATCGGCTAAATATAAAGCTCTTGTTTGAAAAACTTTTTTGTACATCAAGATAACTTGACTAAACTTAGCGTTTACTAGTAAAATGATGCTCCCTAGATATATGCCAAATATTATCTACATCGGACTACTGTATCATATAGCTGCCATAGGAAGAATCGGATAAAATTTAAGTTCTTGTATGAAAAGCATTGTAGATGGCATCAATATAGCTTGACCGAACTTGCCATTTATCAGTAAAATCTTATCAACATCAAATCAATTAACTGTCAGAGGAAAGATCGGTCGAATATTATGTTATTGTATGAATTTTTCTTATGCTTACCAATATGTATTGAGTTTTTAGACTGCCTAGATTGTATGAAGAATTTTTTTGTTTATCAAGATATCTTGACCAACGTCGGCATTTACTAGTTTCACGGTGCCAATTACCAAATCTTGTTAACATTGAAATATTTTAATATCCGGCTCCATAGGAAGAATCGGTCGAAAACTACGTTTTTGTATGGAAAATTGTTCAGCAAAACTACACAACCCTCCTCACACATCTATTTTTAATACCCTGAACCCATTAAAAATGGGTAAAATGTATTTGTGCAAATGTATGTAACAGGCAGAAGGAAGTATCCCCGACCCCATAAAGTATATACATATATTCTTCATCAACATCAACAGCCGAGTTGATCTAGCCATGTCCGTCAGTCTGTCGTATGTATGAATGAAAGGATCTCAGAACCTATAAGAGCTAGTGCCCGCGCAGTAAGAGATTGTTTCCGATAATCGATAACTTGACCCGTTTCCAAGAAATCGATCCAAATCGATATCGAAATCGTGATTTTTGAGCAAATCTCGTAAGTAATAAGAGCTGTAGCCACCAAACCTGACCTTTAGCTTATTGAATATTTTGTGCTACCCACCAATTTAAGGCACAACTTTAATGCAATTGACTTTTTGAGAATATACAAATATTCTATAGCACAATAAGATCTACTGTTGAAAATTTCATCAAGCACGCTTAATAAACACACGTGTTTTGGCTAGCCGCGTGTTGGCAGCAAATGTCTAAATTGCAAGAATTTCTGAATACATGTACACACACACTTTCATATGCGTCTTTATTGAATTTTATAAACAGCATTGCAATTGTATTTGTATTGTTTTCTGTGCTGCTATTTTAATTCGTTTTTCCCATTAAGACTGGGTTGTTGGTTTGCCTGTTGAGTAGAGGCGGTTGTTACGAGTGCGGTCTGTTACGAGTTCGAATCCTATCGAGGGAACTTTTCTTATTTTCAAATTTATTTTTATACCCTGAACCCATTGAAAGTGGGTAAAAAGGGTATAATGTATTTGTGCAAATGTATGTAACAGGCAGTAGGAAGCATCTCCGACCCCATAAAGTATATCTATTCGTGATCAGCATTAATAGCCGAGTCGATCTAGCCATGGCCGTCTGTCTGTCCGTCCGTCTGTTCGTCTGTCTGTCCGTCCGTCTGTCCGTCTGTCCGTCTGTCCGTCCGTCCGTCCGTCCGTCCGTCCGTCTGTCTGTCCGTATGTATGAGCGCAAGGATCTTAGAACCTATAAGAGCCCGAGCCTTGAAATTTTAGCTGTAGGTCATCCTAGTGGCCGCGCAGATCGAGTTTGTTCCCGATATTCGATGACTTGCCCCGTTTCCAAGTAATCGATAAAAATCGATATCGAAATCCGGGTTTTTTAGCAAATTGGGTAAATAATAAGAGCTAGAGTCACCAAACTTGACATGTGGCTTCTAGAATAGTATATATATATATCAAGTATCCTTAATTTTATAGCTTTCGCCACCACCCCGTTACCACCACAAAGCTATAAATCATGTTAGTAAACCAATTTGTATTGCCTTACTAATTAAGCCACAATTGAAATGCAATTGTCATTTCGAGAATATACGAATATTTTATAGTACAATAAGATCTACTACTGAAAATTTCATCAAGATCAGTTAAGAAACACGAAAGAAAATATGTTTTGGCCTGCAAACAAGCGCAGCAGCAAGCGCAAATTCCAAGAATTTCTGAGTGAAATATTGAAATATTGAGTGAAAGAGATAGTGATGGGAACCACCGACCCAGTGGGGAAATTTATAGCCTGTCCGGCTAGCTGTTCCCCTACTCATAGCTGGGAATGGTCAGTGAGTTCCCGAAGGTATCCTGAAAGCAACGATTTTATTAGGGGTAGAAAACGTGGAGAAAACGTGATACTAACTATTATAATTTTTACATAGAACACGAAAAAATTGTGTAGGAATAAGGGGCGATAATTCCTGGTAGATTTACACGGAACAGAGAATTGAAGAAGACCAAGCAGAAAAGAAGAATCTATGTCGCCAACAATCAACTTATGTAGGAAGATAACACCGAGGATTGTCCTACGGTTGGTTAACGACGGAAGATCAAGAAGAAGAAGACTGCTGGAGAAGGATTTAAACCTCGTGAGGCAAAAAGTAGAAATTGCTTCTAAACTGATTCAATACGATCCTGGCTATTGTTATACTGCGGAGACCAGATGCAAGAGCAGTATTCAAGGATAGGGCGAACAAGACAGATGTAAAGGAGTTTGGTTATGAAAGGCTCGTTAAACTCCTTAGACAAATGTTTAATCTATATGAAGTTTGAAGAAGAGTTTTGAATCAAAAAGAACACCTAGATCCTTAACTGTTAGTATACGTTGCAATAAAGTATTGACCATTGTATACTTGACGAGATAGATGAATTTGATGCCGAACACCAAAGTTGCATAGCGCTCAAATCATCTTGAAGACGAGAGTGATGTTGGGGATTAGTGTATGATAGAATAAGTTTCACATCGTCCGCATACATAAGTATATGGGCATGTGATATAACCGAGGGGATATCATTTATAAAAAGAGCAAAGAGTTAAGGACCAAGATGACTACCTTGAGGGACACCTGAAGTAACGTGAACCTGTTTTGAGGTAGTCAGCCTCAGCATTACTCTTTGGGTCCTACTTTTTAAATAAGAAGAAATCCAATGCAAAAGAGACGGACGGTCAAGTTTAAGGAGTAAAATATCATGGTGCACAGAGTCAAACACCTTACTGAAGTCAGTGTAAATGACATCAGATTGCATTTTAGAAAGGAAAACATCATTTACCAGCGAAGTATATTCAAGCAGATTGGTCGTAGTTGACCGAATCCATGTTGAATAGGGTAACTGATCTGCAGAAATGATGTAAATTCTAAGTGATTATTTTTTCAAATAATTTAGGCATAGTGGATAGTTTAGCAATGCCCCTGTAATTTTGTATATCAGACTTTCCACCTTTCTTGTGGAGAGGAATGATAAAAGATTCTTGCCAAAGAGATGAAAAGACAGAAGATTCAAGGTATTGATTAAAAAGCTTTAGCAATGGACGAAAAAGGGAAGAAATACACTCCTTGAGTAGGCAACTAGGAATATTGTCAGGCCCAGGAGAGTAAGAAGATTTTAATGAATTTATAGCAGAAAGGAGAGAGGAATGGGAAATAATAGGAGCAAGAATGGAATCGGAGGACAGACGGAAGAGTAAGTTGATTGGAAAAAGATAACAAAGGATAGCAGAATCGGAATCATTTCTAGCTTTATCCATCCCGAGAGAAAAGGAAGTTGGCAAACTTGAAAATTTTCGCTTCAAGTTTACAAAATTATAAAGAGTTTACAGAAAGTGAAAAATAAGAGGATTGCAATTGAACATTGCAACCTCTAAAGTAGGATGATATACATCCTCAGGAGGAGATAAAGGAGGGGACCTGGACACATTAGCAGTAAGGTAATCGTTAACAAATTCAAGATCAAGTGTTCTATTCAAATGATTAGAAATTGAATTGATTTGACATAACGAAAGGTCAAGTATGCAATATATAAAGTCAGGTTGTGCTGAGGGAACT